ATTTTCAGGTTAGGGCTTATTTTCGGGGAAATAGGGTAGCAGTGGGTGATCTTCAGGCATTCTCTTTTCTTATTTCTAGGAAAGTGGAGAGAAGGGTTGAAGGTGAGACATCTTGCTCTAAAAGATTGCCCACTAGTAAGGTTCTGTAATTGAGGTGAGCTGAGTCTTTATACACTGACAGGATTTTTATCTCTTATTGTGGGAAGCTGGTATGATCTGTAAATAACTTGCAGTATTTATCAAGGAGCATTGCGCAAGGCTTTGTTGAGTGGATCCCACCAGCAAGATGAGCTCTGTTCCTGTACTGTTTAGAAATGATAATGGACACTTTTCAACAAAGGACTGTCATTTCAAGCGTTCTGAAATTTGTTCAACTAGGCAATCATTTCACAACAACCAACTTTGAATGTTGATTTGTATAAACAAGGCATAGGAGAAAGTAGTTGTTGCCTTCTGTGTTGGATAGAAGCTTGCAAGGAGCAGTTGATGATATTTTTAATTGATTGATTTAAATTTTGTGTAAAGAAGGAACCCTTCTATTCCCTGTTCAGTTTCAGGAAGACTTGAAGTTATTGCAAGGAGATAAAAATGTTTCTGCCTTCAATAATAGGGCAGGCAAAAGAGTTGGTTTCACTTTTGAGCCTCAACCTCTCTCAGGGACAGTTTGCTTGAAGTGTGCCAGAAAATATTTGAGGCACTACGAAAAAGATGAGCTAAGCCCATTGAATACTTTCCTGCTTTGTAAATAGGAACAAAGTGTGAACCTGCCCAGAAGGCATTGCTAGTATTGGAAACTGAGATATGGAAGTTCTCTTTACAGGAACAGGGTTGGCAAGAGAATTGGGTAGGAGCAGGCCCTTACTTAGATAAATGTAGCTTGTTACAGAGCCAAAGTGTTGAAAGGCAAAAGTTAAGAAAAGGAAAGAGTGAGTATACGACCTGGAAGCAGTTAAGCATAGCAGGGCCAGGTGTGGGGAACAAGAGTAGAGGGACCCTTCTTATTCTTGCTTCAGTTGCTTTCTCTTATAGTATCAGTACTATTCTTAGACTGGTATGGTTGATAATCTTTATTAGGTCACTAAAATATCAAAAAAGAGAAGTTTTGACTCTCTAGTGAGTATTATGGAGCTAGGTTTGGTGTAGAAAAACATAGAAAGAGCCTAAGTCCATGCCTAGATGTTTGGGCCAGGTTCCTTGTTGAAAGGAGGCTCTAAAATGGGGATGCAGAATCCGCTCAGAGATGTTAGGTTTCTGATTGTGTCTCTGGTGATGTTGTACAAAAAGCATGCAGTTGCTAAGTATCTCTCCCCTCTCTCCGGTGTCTTATATTGAAGCATACCTTCCTTTTTGGTTGGAGGACAGAGGCACACAAAAATGTGAGAAACTCTGTATCAGAAAAGTTGGGATAAAGTTTAATTTACACATTAGGTAATAAATTTATTTTTAGCAAGCATTCAACCTATTAATGTTTTTAATTTTTTTGTCATGACATTTTAATCTGGATATCTTTTCTCTGCTGTTCTAAGCCTGCCATTCTTATTGTTATGTTAATGATGCCCTGCAATTATAAACCTCCATGGGCATTTTATTTCTAGGAGACAAGGGAAAAATGGTTTTAGTGCAGGAAATAAAAATGACAAGAAGGGATCTCTATTCCTGTAGATTGGGAACAGCACCTGGCAGCTCCTAGGCTGAATCTGGTTTGTGAAAGGATAACTGGGTAGTAGACCAACTTATATCCTTGTTAATGTGGGACCCCAGCTGTCTTTGCAAATAGCTATTTCTCTCTGTTAACTCCTTTGTCATCAGAGCTTAGGCTGGTTGATGAGGAAAGAGAAATATTTATTTATTTGATTTTATACCCCGCCTAGCTGGGCGACTCGTCCACTCTAGGCAGCAATGAAAGGAATGATATGGGTAGCTTTTAGAAGCTAGGCAATCATTGATATCTTGGAAGGAAGGAGTCCTCAAGAGGTCAGACAGCCAGTCATATGATTTCTGTGCAGCTATATTTATGCTAGCAGAGAAAATGCAAATAAGATATGCAGCAGTTGCCACATTGAGGCTCCAGTCTTAAATGTTACAACTCTCCACCCAACTCTCCGGCCTGTTAATATATGTTTCCAATTTGGTTTTTCTCCGAAAGGTGGACAGAGGTGGTGCTCATTTAGATACACTTTTTACCTGCCCCATCCTCTATCTCAGTGAGTAGAAATGGAGAAATTAAAAAGGTCATCTCCCTCTTTGCTGAGATCTGAGGTTGCTCTCTCTCTCTCTCTCTCTCTCTCTCTCTCTCTCTCTCTCTTTGTGCGCCTGTTTGAGGGAAGGGCTTTCCTGTCTCCAGACAGTAACCACCAAAGTGCTCCTTCTTTGCTGTTCCTGGCTGTAGGAAAGAATTTATCTTTGAAGCAGGGTCACTGTCAGTCAACAGTAAGATAGCTGCTTCTGTGAATTAAACACACTCTCTGGGCTGTCAACTTCATTGTCAAAACAGGGCCACAAAAGAAAGAAAACCTGAGAGTTGTTTTCATGTTTGAGGCTCGCAGAAAAATATAAAATAATTTTTAGTCTTTTGGGGACAAAAAGCCCTAAAAACAGGGAAAAAAACCTGCATGTGTTTCTATGGAAGAAAAGAGAGGGCAAAGGAACTGGAAGAGCTGTGAATGCAGCCTGGCAAGGCTATTCTCTGAGTCTCAGCTACAGACACACCCTTCATAGGTAGACCGTGTTCTCAGTCTGAAGATTTCCCTTTGGCATGGACAAAGCTCAGGAAGTGTAACTTACCGATGCCCAGAAGAGGTGTGACTTGCAGTCAAGAGGCAGGAAACTACCTTGAATGCCTCTACCCAGCCTTGTGCAAAGACGGTGTTTGTTGCAGTGTGCCTTGTTGTTGGCAAACTCAAGACAGAGGCCACAAAAGACCCCTCACAGATTTTTTAAAAAAGTATTTACACTGGAAACAAGAAAACCCTAAAAGATAGGCTGCTTTGGCCTGTCAAGACAATTGTTCTCAGGAAAGACAAGTAATTGAACAAGATTGCTTCTCATCCTGGGTTAATCTAATTTTTCTTTGGAATTTTAGAAGAGGCATCTGTGTAGTCTGTGCCTAGCATATCAGGCCAAAATAAAATAAAAATAAAAAATAAAAAAGATAAAAATGTTGTGGCACCTTAAAAACTAACTGCTATATTTTAATGTGAACTTTAGTGGACAAATTTGTGGAAGTGGACTTGTCTGTGAAAGCTTACGTTAAAATATAGCAGTTAGTATTTAAGGTAACACAATGTTTTCTTATTTATTTATTTGTTTTTAGCCTCATATGCTTCCTTAGGAGAAAATTCCATAACTGGAGGAATGCTGCAGAGAAGTTTTCCCATGTTCTGGCCAACCAAATACAGTGGTGCCTCGCAAGACGAACGCCTCGTGGGACGAAAAACCTGCAAGATGAATGGTTTTTGTGATCGCTGTGGTGCCTCGCAAGACGGCTTCTTCTAGGGCTGTGCTTCACAAGATGATCCCCTCCCCCGAGACCAAAGCCTCGCAAGACAAAAAAATTTCATTCGTGTTGCCAGGTTCCCATAGGAATGCATTGCAATGCATTCCTATGGGAAACCGCTTTTCGCAAGACAATTTTTTTTGCAAGACAGCACTACTCGCGGAACGAATTACATTCGTCTTCTGAGGCACCACTGTATCTTTCAGAGGAGTAACAGACAAGTGGGCCTCTAAAGGTTACTCTTCCAGAAGGAAGCTGGGCGGATTGTTAATGGAATTAGTCAGCTTCAATAGGAGAATGAAGCACATACAGACAGCGCTTCAGGAATTAGGATTCATCCAGGTTTTAAATGCTGGATGAGTGTCTGGAGCTACATTCTCCCCAATGCCTTTCTTGCGCAGAGAAAGTGGAGGAAAAATCAAAGCCAGCTGACTGGAAAAGCATCAGCTTATGCTTTTCTAGAGTCTGTGACATCAGGTGCAGGGCCACACATCCTGATATTATTTAAGCTGTCAAGTATTGTACCATGTATGCAGCTTTCCCTTTGTCGCTACTCTGCTGTAGTGACTCTACTTGCAACATATTTTTTATTTCTTCAGCAGTATGTTTATTATAGACATAACTCCAAGTACTGCAATATTTTATTGCCAATCTCTACTTGTTGCTTCTGATAGTGAACTCTGTTGAGTACTTAACAGTTTCTGAGTAAAGCAGATGCAATGGAGACTATAAGGCCTTTGTTCTAGGTTGACTGGAGTCTTAGACAGTAGTCCTGCTTTTAGAGCAAAAATGGTCATAGCGTATCCGTAAGTGTTTTCAGGGAGCAAGATACTGAAAGATGACAAAAAAGGCCACTGACCCTTGCAAGTTACCCACTCCAATTTAGAATCACTATAGCATTTTGTAGCAGATTCAAAGTGTAAATGTACTAATGGCTAGGGGAAAGCATGTTTTCAATGTTGATTTGGAGTGGGGAATAACTTTAAGATGAGCTCTTTAAAATTGCTTAAAGACTATGAAGGTTTTAAAAAGATATTTACTAAGTTTGGTGAGATTCCCAAAAAGCCAGTTGCTTTTCATTTCTTGTATTTTGCAATTGCTGGATTCTGACATCCTGTCAGGGTGGATGAAAATCATTGATTAAAAAAAACAAATTGATCTAAATCATGATTTAGGTCTAAAAAGTTTTTATTTAAATAATTAGAAATCTGATGTTTTAATTAAAATCCTGAGTTATATTGTGATTTAGATCAAATCCACCCTGCTTCCTATTCTGTGTAAAACAATGTGGGTCATTTATTTCTGGGTCTTAGACTGTTGTGTGGTGCTTTGAGATGAAGTTGTAACTTGCACACTATTACTAAACACTATGTTTTCCTTCAGGCTGCAAATTGCTTTATAATATCTAATAAAAAGACAATCATTCAGTATCTGGAAGCTATGTCAGAACAAATTATTGAAAATGATAATTCTAATCATTCTTTTCATGGGGTTTTTATTTCAGCCCCTTGTTAAAGTTAGAAGATGGCGGTGATGGAACTTGTTTGCCAAGACACTCCAGCCCCAGGCATTGGGCACCTAAAGGAGATTTCTGCAGGCAAAGGACCACAGGAGGCAGCAAATGAGAAAAAGAGCAGCATTTGCAAAGTAGAGGATCCAGAGCAAATGTTCCAAGGCCCATGGAAGATCCTGAATGATGTGATTGCCAAAGGCACTGCCAAGGAAGACAGTGGGAAAGGAAGCTTAGCCTCAATCTCTATCATCGCCCAAGCAGAATGTAAGTAGAAAGTGATATGCTAATGTTGGTAGATGAGTGGGCCTAAGATCAATTATGGATGCCAGAAGGTATCATTATCTGTGTTCAGATCTGTTGAGAATCTCCATCAGGTCTGTTATTCTCATCAAATATATTTATTCTGTAGAAATGATGTGCCTATATAAGTTGCTTCTCACTCTGTTCTCCTGGCACGTTTCCTGGTTTCCTTCCTCTGTGAAACCTTACTCATAGGAATATTGCAGAATCAGAAGTAAAGTACATGCATGGTGGGAATGGAGCTGCTGCAGGATTGCCCAAGAACTGAGAGTTCCCTGCCACAACTGAACAGCATCACTCTATGCCATACTGTGAATTGTTTTTGAAATTCCATCCAGAGTCAGATGTGGCATGCACATATGTTTCAAGAAGCACAAGCCCAAACTTCCTACTGGTCATTTGAAATCAGTTGTTCATTTTTTTAATTATTATTTTTTATTCTGGCTTATATGTTTTCAATGCAAAATTTGGATATTCCACCCCAAAGATATTTGCCATGCCAATTTTTTTTTTAATTTAAACCTTCAAGAGGCATTATGTCTTACAGCTTTCTTTGCTAATAACAAAGCTGATTTCCACAAGAAAGTGTGTTTCCTGTCTCATTCAGTTTTTATGGACCTTGTTTGCTTTCCTGCAGGTGAGATCAGCCAGGAGTTCAGCCCCACCTATTCAGAGAGGCCTTTTATTGCTGACACCAAGAAATACAGGTAAAAAAGTGTGCTATAAAATTCTGTGTGCAGTAAGGGATCACAAATTTGGAAGGAAAACAGCAACCTTCATTCTACAAATTATATGAGATATCTTCTGGTCTGGCACAACCATCTGTCCTGGAACAAGTCACCATATGCTTTTGTTAGAAATATCTACTCATCATAATCAATTAGGATTCATTGGACTGCCTTAATATGCATTGCAGACATATTCAAGTTACTCAGTTTGAAACTGTGAAAGATTATCCAGACTAATTTGAAGACTGAAGTAACAGCAGTTTTCAGTATGCTTTCATGCAGAATATTTTGTCCACCATCACTTGCTTTCTCCATCACCATTTAGTTGGAGAATTGTTGCAGTGTCTTGTAGGGTATGCTTCCAGTTTTGAAGGGCAACTTGAAGGGCTGGTAATACTCTGCCAAATGGCGGATGTGAACATCCCATATAGAGGGGTTCCTTAAAATACTCATTCTGAATATTTCAGGAAACAGAAAGGAAGCATGTGGGGGTGGAGGGTGCCGGAAATTAAGGCTGGGAAAGAGACTTTCTGACCTCATTAAGCCATAATTAGGGCTTCTTCTAATGGTTTGTTTTATTCATTAGTTCTGATAAAGTTATGAAATATTGGGAGTTGTCCTGAATACTTCCACGTTTCTGGTTGGGTGTATGTGAGTAAAAGAAGCAGTCATGAAATAACAGATCAAATATCCCCCACAAATCTTTTTTCCATAATTGTTTATTTATTTCTGATGCTATTTTCCCTCCCATGGCACACTACTTTGCCTTTTAAGTGCCATTTTAAGGTTGCTTTCCTTGGAATTGTCTCAGCCATTTGTCTCAGACCTTAACCCACTCATCCCAGCCAATTGTTGCAACAGCCACTTTTTAACCAATTGATCATGTTCATGAAAGGCAATCTTATACAAAATTAACCTATCTCTGTATTGATGGAAGATGTCCCATATAACATTTCAAAATTATGTGTTAAACATTTTGTACTTTTGTTGGAACTTATGCACAGAATATATTTTAAGAAATGGACCCAAGACTATTAAAATAGTTTTCCTAAATATTTATTATTTATAGCTTTCTTATACGATGATTATAGTTAGCATTGCATGTTGTGATTAAGAACCTTCTTTGTTCTTATGATCACTCTAGAGGTTTTCATGTCTTACTGGGTTTTATACTTCTTAGGTTCTGATTGGCTAGATGTGGCCATGCTGCTTCTTTTTTCCTCCCTCTTTGTTTTTATTACATGAGTTAAAATATTTTTGCTGTATTTTCCTCTCTTCAGCAGCCAATCTTTCAGCCTTGACCAGATTCCCAACAATGTGGCTCATGCAACTGAAGGGAAAATGGCTCCAGTTAATCGGAAGACCGTGCATCCAGGTAAATCCCGGAAGAAACGGCGAAAGAAAAGATCCCACCTAATGACATCAAAGGGAACATCCTCACTGTTTCAAAAGCCAAAGACTCCAGAGCAGGAGAGCTGCATACCAGTACAGGTAAGAGGTGTTTTTTTTTTAAAAAAAAAATTGTTTCAAATAATACCCAGATAGAGTACCAGTGAATCCAAGAAAGGAACTGGTACCTAGGGATTTTGAAATGCATTTTTAGCTTCATGAAGGTGTGACTCCTACATCTTTGAAATAACTTTTCCGGGTCTGTCAGTGGGGCTTGTATTTTGGTGGAATACAGTTGATAGTGTTTTCTGCTTAGTAAATCCTTTCCCTTTTCTTCCAGGAGGATGACTCTCACTTTAGCACTTTCTTCAACAGCACTTCATGGCATTCAGAGCCATGTAAAGATTTGGGCCATGATTTCAGTTGCTTCAAGAAGCCCAGCAAACTCTTACCTACTGGCCAGTTGCACTTGCTGAAGAACCCAACCAAGCTAGAATTACACAAGTTGATCAGTCCTGCTCAATGCCTGAGCCATGTTTTGAAGTCTCATACTCTGGACAATTTTGCCCCTCAGTCAGAGATTCTACACCCATTCCCCTCTGTCCAGTTTTCACCTTATTTCCACGGCTGTGACAACCTACATCCTGCCATGAAACATAGCCCTCTGCAGACATATCTGTTTGATGATCTTTCACGTGTTAATGGTGAAAGTCACCTGTCAGATCTGAGTTTGGAGCATAGTTTGTCCACATGCGGCCATGAATCTGCAAAAACCACATCAGAGAAGCTGTCTATGGAAGAATTTCTGGTGGATGCCTTGAAGGGAAATGTAATTCTTGGAGAACCAAGAAACTTAGCTTGTTTGGCCAAGACATGGAAAGGACTGAGTTCGAAGACATGCCCTCAAGAAATGGATGAAAATGAAGGTGTGCTGCTTGTAGAGGTGAGGCTTCAGAATCTAGGTGCAGGGGGGTAGGTTATAGCAGATGCTGGTGTATACATACCACAACTGCTCATCACCTGAGGCCACATTAAATGAACAGTTACTGCAGAGCCAACCACCTTTCAAAGGTGTTACGTGGTACAACCTTCTTGAATTGCAATACTTGAGGCTGAAGATGGAAGACTGCATGTTTGAATAGAATTCTTTGTTGGGGGGAATACAAAATGTGGGTATGCTCTTCCTGCTAGGAATAAAAAAAATGTTATTCACACACTTCACTCACAGAGGAACATCATAGAAATAGTTCATGGCCTTTGGAATAACCCTATATAAATATGAACATGCAGTTGTAGGAACTGTTTGTGAGGAGGAAGCCTGAATTTGAGGATGTTCATGCAAGACCCATCAGCGTGTTACAGAAAAACAGCATCGAATTGTGGTATGGATTGATTAAGTGAGCAGTGTTCCAATATCTGTGCCATTCTCAAGGGCAGCCTCCACAGAGAGCACACTGCAGTAATCCAGATGGGACGTTGGTAGTGCATATACTACTTTGGCTAAGTTATGCTTTCCCAGCAATGTTTGTAGCTGGTGCACCAAGCAAAGGTTTCCAAAAGCACTCTGAACCAGTGGCTACTTGTGTGAATGTAGGAGTATATCCAAGCAATATACCTGCTCCTTCAGAGGGAGTGCAGACCCATTCAGGACAGGTTTCCTGCCCATTTCCGAGATTTGTGAACCAGCCAATCCACAGCTTTATACATAATTTCTTGTATATATTGATGCCAGTTCAGACACCTTTGAAATACCTCTATCACTGTTATTCCTAATTTCTTGTATATATTGATGCCAGTTCAAACAGGTATTTGAAATACCTCTATCCCTGTTATTCTGAAAACTGGTTTAGGGATTGCTCTTGAGTTTTTTCTCCTTCCTTTGACTCATCTTCCTTGTTTTTGTTTTGTCTTGTTGAACCTCTCACTAACCATCAGAAACTCAAAGCAGTGGATTATGAATATCGTGAAGATGTTCACTGGACTAAATGTCAGAGCTTGCTTGGCACAGGATCATTTGGGGATGTGTACAAAATGGAGGACAAGCAGACGGGCTTTCAGTGTGCTGCAAAAAAGGTACAGATTTTTAAAATCCAAGGTATCTGAGGCAAGGGAAAGTGAAACGAGAAAAAGGGAAATGAAAGCTCCTTCCCTTTTCATTGGAAATGCTATGGACTGGAGCAGCTGTTGCTCCAACTCTGCTCTAACTTGTTTGTAGCTGATCTCAAGGTCAAACCAGAAGGTGTTCCCATGGCAACTTCAAACAGTGAAATCCATGGCCCTGTGTGGGCGTTGGGTGTAGCAAGCAGTGCTGGAAAGCTTGCTCTTGAACAAAGTCCAAAACTCTGTCCTGTGAGAAGAGAAGGTGTTCATTATTTTTTCTTTTGCAAGAAACTGGTGGCAAAGATCATATGTAAAATAATTCATAGTATTAAGTAATGTTAGATAAATGAGAGTTGGGTCTTTGGGGAATTGCAAATTGTGGATCGTGGGAGAGTTTTCTAGCAATTTGATTGTACAGACCCGTGTGATACCAATGTACTGTATGTTAATTTCCCAGAGCCATCTGACTTATATCCACAGCTTTCACGTGGTCTTATATACGGGCACCATTCTGACCCATGACAGTTTAGCTTCCACAGTGGAACTATATCAGTTACCTCAGAATATGATTATTAATTAGAGATGGGAGTATTTGTTTAAGAATACCCCCCACAGGTGAAGATAACGAGGGTCTGCCCCCCTGGGGCCAGACCATCCACTCACCATTCCACTCCAGCCACTCTTTGACCTGGCAGAGAGGCTCATCATCCCACCTCCTGCCAGGAGTGGCTAATCCACCACAAGCTCCAGAGCGATAGGGAGTGCGGAGCCTGCAGCAGCAACAGAACGGTGAGTGGATGGTCTCCAGCTGTGGGAGGTATTCGTATACCAATACCCTCATCTCTATTATTAATACCTCAAGAGAGCTGTAGGGGGTTAATTTGACTACACCGCAGAGTATGATTGACAGAATTAACTATCTGTGGTGTGCCTTTATTTTGAGATACTTGTAGTAGACTAGAGTCAGATCATCTTGTCATTCTCTTACCAGATCTGTTCCTCCATGGTCTAAGCTCTTCTAGCCTTTCTTCCGTCTCATATTCATATGAAAACTTAACTTGACTTATTATGTAGTGGCAAGCATGCAAGTGACTCATGTTTTCCTCCAGCAGACTCTGTGCTTAGCCAGACTAAATTTCATCTGTGTCCTCCTTAGATTTTGTCTTTGCCGTAGGCATTTTAAATAACAATAAAATGGCACACACAGGTTATGGAGGAAGAATATCATCATTTTATTACCATTGAGCTTCCTGAAGATTCCTGCTTGCCAACTAGCTTTATGGCTCAGATAATTCATTAGTTACTAGAGACATGGAAACAGAAGTTTGGCCTAATTCAAGTGAGTTTGTAAAATTCAGATTCCTACTTAGCCTTACCCAAATTGCCTCCTTGACCTTCTGTCTTTCCAAGCTGCTTTACCTTCCACCCTCTGGAAACAGATGTTATTTCTTCCTATGGTATCTCATGATTTTCATGAACCTCACTTTCTTCTTGGCTCCCCTTTCTAGCCCTGTGCTTCCTCTACTCACTGTTTTTGTTAGCCCCTGCCTTTTACTGACTCTCAGTTTGGGTCTTCTTTTAGCTGGCTAGACACTCCCAGGCAGCTCTTCCGGCTCTGTGCTTTAGATATTCTGAGAACGTTTATTCTCACATCCCACCCCACTGCTCTCCACCTGCTTTCCTCCCTCTTTCCCTTCAGCCCGTGAGTCTTCTGTTTATACAATACTTTACTGTTTCTCAGAAGATTTCCCTCTATCTTCCCCATCTGTTGCTGATTATTTCCCTCCCAGCGCGTCAGATCTCCACATCCATGCACCATTTATTTTATCTTTGAGTCCTACGCAGGGATTTTTTTTCCTCTTTCCCTTTTTTCACTTTATTTGATGAAGCAAACTGTTTGGCTAGGCAATGCTGCTTTCTGAGAACTGTAATTCTGTGCAGATGCCTTGTTTGCTCTTTTAAGTCAGTTGCAACTCTTCCGTTGAGTCAAATTTTTTCATTGTGATCTTTCCAGGTGAGAGTTGAACACTTCCGTGCAGAGGAGTTGACAACGTGTACTGGAATGATGCATCCTAAAATCCTGCCATTATATGGAGCAGTGAAGGAAGGCCTCTGGGTTACTATTTTCATGAAGCTTATGGAGGGTATGTGATCAGAGATGGTAGAAAGTTGTGTACAGTACTGTTTGGTCTTCTAATTACTGAGTGGCAACAGTGATGAATAGATTACTGTGTGGTCAAGGTAACAAGGTGTGGTTCAGAAATAAATTGGGCAAACAGTTAAGCAAAGACATGCTTCAGCTGATTTGACTTAATATTTAAAAATATTAAATGAAATCCCTTTGAAATAAGTTTTAAATTAAAAAAGATAGCTGCTTTATTAGAGCCACAACAAATTTCTTACTAAAAGAATGCTTAAAAATAAAAGCCCTTTTCTACCAGTGGAAGAATGATAAGGAGGGACTACTCTGGTTCCACAGCTTCAGGGGATGTCTGTGGGGTGATAGGACAAAGAGAAAGATCTCCCCTGAAGCTTGGAATTGAGTGCTCATATGGGAAAAATAGTCCCATAGATAGCCTGGATCCAAGCTGTTTAAGACTTTATAGGTAAAAAAAATAGTACTTTGAATTATGTCCAGTAACAAAGCAAAACCGGTCGAGCTGTCGTTATTAGGATTTCTGTCATGCCTATAACCAGCTTCAGTCAGGAAGCTAGCTGCATCTTGGACCTGCTGAAGTTTCTTAGCACTTTCCATAAACATCCCACATAGAGTGCCTTATAGCACTGATTCTTAACTTTGGGTTACTCAGGTGTTTTTGGACTGCAACTCCCAGAAGCCTTCACCACCAGCTGTGCTGGCTGGGGTTTCTGGGAGTTGCAGTTCAAAAACACCTGAGTAACAAAGGTTAAGAACCATTGCCTTATAGTAATCCAAACGGGATGTAACTCAGGCATGTCTCGCTATGGCAGAATCAGACATCTTAAGGAATGGGCATATCTAGTGTGCTAGTGTTAACCATGAGAACATGCCCCTAGTTGTTGCTGAGATTCACGCATCCAGGTGCATGCCCAAGCTTGAGTTTTCAGGGTGAGTGTCACTCCGTCCAGCACAGGTTGAGTCCCTGTTCCCTGATTTGCCTTTTAACTGACTAAGAGCATTTCTGTCTTGTCTGAATTGGTCTTCAGTTTGTTCACCCTAATGCAGTCCATTAATGGCAATCGGGAAGCTGTTTAGGACTGAAACGCTAGTGTTAACCATGAGAACATGCCCCTAGTCGCTGCTGAGATTCAGGCATCCCGGCACATGCCCAAGCTAGGAACCTTGAGTTTTCAGGGTAAGTGTCACTCCATCCAGCACAGGTTGAGTCCCTGTTCCCTAATTTGCCTTTTAACTGACCAAGAGCATTTCTGTCTTGTCTGAATTAGTCTTCAGTTTGTTCAATCTAATGCAGCCCATTAATGACAATGGGGAAGCTGTTTAGGACTGAAACAGCTTACCCAGAATTAATGGGATTAGCTAAGAGTCATTTACACATCGATGGCTTCAAACCCCAGAACTTTGTACTACCTCTCCCAGCAGCCTCATGTTTATATTAAATAAAACAGGGATAGGACAGAGCTCTGAAGGATCCCACAGGGTGTCAAAAAGGAGTCCCCCAGCAACACTTTCTGAGCACACCAGAAGGTATCAGAGCCAATGCAAAAATGTGTCTCTGAGTCCCATCCTGTAAAGATGACACAGTATGTTACTGTGATTGATGGTACCAAAAGCCACTGAGATGAAGCAGAGCCAACAGGGCCACATTTTCCTGTTCAATTCCCAGTATAGATCATCCACCAAGTCAACCAAACTTGTCCTCACCTTACAGCCAGGCCTGAAGCTGTCTTAAAATGGATCTAGTATCCATCTCATCCAGAAACCCCTGGAGTTGAGAAACTGTCACATCCTCTAAGATGTTGTCCAAGAATGGCCTGCAGTAGGAAAACCCCTCCCCCCATGTGGGATCAGTATCCACTGATTCACTTATACACTGGCTGAAAATACTAAATAGCACACACACCCTGCCAAAATTCCTTTTTATATGTACTTCCAGAGCATATTTACTACAACTGGCGACTAGAGGGAGCCAGAGAGTATGCAATGTATAGCATTCAATACCATGTTTGTCAGCATCCATAGGGGGCTTGGAGTTGATCCCCCACGGTACTACGGTGCTGCTGTATTCAAATCTGGCTCGTAATCTTCCTGTATATTGGGGATGAGAGAGAGCTTTTTCCATGAAGGCTGTATGACTGTCTCTTTTAGGCAGACTGGAACACTAATTTGTTCTAAGGAGGCATTCGTCACCTCCCTTACCCACTCAAGCAGTCTCCCCAGCTGCTGTTGTGAGTGAGGAAGGGCAAGGATCCAGCATGCACAGCTTGATTCTCATCACTCCAAGGATTCTGTCCACGTCCTCAGACTGCACAAAACAGAAATCCATTAACACAGGGCAAGAATGAGTCAAAGTTACAGTCTCAGGAACTGTCTCAGCTGTGGCGTCCAACTCAGAACAACTCATGAGTAATCTTACCTAGAACGTGTTGAACATATTTTTCACATCAGGTTGATAAGGGGTCTGCATTCTCTTCTTATGAGCCACAGTGTAAGAGGCAATTGGGCACTCAGGACACCTGTGCTCCACAACTTTGGACCCAAAGGAATGATTGCTTTGCTGCTACTATTGCTGCCACAAAGTAAGCCTTCCAGTGAGCTCTCCCCTGTGCTCATTTGGGTCTGCTCCACATTTTCTGCCATTACTACTTTAGTCTCCATCCCCCATGTCTCATCCCTACCAGCTTCATACTAAAACCAGGGGATTAATTTGGTCCTGCTCCATGGGAAAGGACACTTAAGAGCAATTGTATCCACTGCCCTGGCCATCTTTCCCATTCTGCAGGTCAGCCAGGCTTTGACAGAATCACCTGATGAAATTCCCTAAGAGCTGTCAGAAAATCATTTGTATTCATCAGCCACTTGTGGTGGACCCTCTTAACTGTAGATGCTCCCTTCTGTAGAGCCTCTGAATTTGTGTGCATTTAAACCCAACCAGGTTATGATTTATCCATGAAGAGCAGGAGTGGGGGCATGCACAGTTTTTCAGATGCTTTTGTATTACCACTTGCAACAGCCCTGGCGAGCATAGCCTGTGGTGAAGGAAGATGAGTGTTCCAGTCCAACAACATCTGATCGTACACACTGTCCACAGCCTTCTCAAGAGAGTATGTGCAATTCCACTGAATTTGGAACTTCTTTGCAGGTGGGTCACTTGGCCAGCTGCTCAAGCAGCGTGGTTATTTGCCAGAAGATAGAGCCCTTGATTATCTGGGCCAAACATTAGAAGGCTTGGAGTACCTCCATGCATGCGGTGTTCTCCATGGAGATGTAAAAGGTATGTGCATAAGGTATTGAGCAATAATACATCTTCCTTACAATTTTATTGAAAGCATTGGTGGTAATTGTGGGTGTCAGGCTGGAATTGGTTGAGGGCAAGAGAGCCTGCATGCCTGTATTCCTGTCTCCAGGCTGCACTCAAGGGATTTTTGCAAGAAAGTGACCAGGAGCTGCTTATCTTGGGGACAGGCTGCATTTGTCTTCACCCCAGATGGTGTGGGGTCTGCCGACCATCAAGCACTCAGACTGTATCTGTCATTCTGTTGGTGTCTTCCTAGCATCTGGGCTGGGGTGGTCCATTGACTGGCCAATGCCAGGATCTGTCACCACATGCCAAGCCAAGTTTATTTAGCTGTAACCAGTTAAGTTGTGGTTAATTTTCTGTCAAAAGTTCCAGTTTGGCATATTTTCATGGTAAATGGAGAAGAAATTGCTCAGCATGAGTTGTTATGCAAATTCCTGCCAGGACATTCAAGCCATTTTCATAAGCATTAAAGAGGGATATCCCTGGTTTCTTTTCAAATTAGCAAGTTCAGTGGCAAATTGTGTGCATGCATTTCTTGTGTGCATGCCTTTCTTGTGTGCATGCATTTTACACATGCCATTTAAGGAAATGAAAATGTCTCCACTATTTCCTCACCCCCATCCCATTTCTGGTTGCTGCCAGTGTAGTAGTGCAGCTTGCCATTGGAGTTCACCAATGCTTTTTGGGGAAGTGTTGAACATTCAGGCGGTGCACAGTCTGACTGTAGTCCACTCCTGACCTGAATATAAAACTAGGTCTTATCATGGATACACATCCTGATAGCAAGTAAATCATTTCTACAATTTCTTTGCCAGCTGACAATGTCCTCTTATCTGGTGATGGAAACCACACTGTCCTCTGCGATTTTGGTCATGCAGCTCACCTCCACCCAGATGGTGGGGGGAAGTACTTGGTGACTGGTAAGTTCTGGGAGATGTTGCAAGAAGCTAGTAACAGGATCCTTCAGTTTGCACACTACATTATGCTTGAGAATCCCTGAAGCTATCCTGAACCATGAATGTTGGGTGGTTGTATGTCTAACCTGCACGTTGCCATTCTTGTATTGAAAATCAGCATTAGGACAGCCCAAAACAGGATTATAGTCAGAAAACCACCTACCCCTTCTGCATCTGAATAATCAAAAGTGCCATATTTAAGAAATGAAGATACAACTTCTTTGAAAAGACTGGAAAAACTAGTTTGCAAGCCTTGATGATCTATTAGAACCATGTCATTCACTTTGATATACGGGAAACAGAAGTCTTCATAGATAACAAAATCCCATAATGCAGCTCAATGCCATCTTATGCCTCATGTGTGAGCTGCTCATTTTGCTACTTGTGCATCCCTGATGTCTTTTAAACATAGGCAAAGTAAACAAATTTCTAAATCTGGGCTGCTGTTATACTGCTGATGGAATGCCCAAAGTTCAGAGACTTAGCTAAATGTTATAATGCTATTGCCCTTAGATGAATGCCATTGTCACAACAGGTTGTGATGGAGACTAGTCTCCAGAATGTGAGGAATTTATGCCTTCTGTTGAGTCAGAAGTGAACCTTTCCCTTTGTGTCCGAACCTGTTGTTGGTGTGTGGGCTGCCTTAAAAGATCACTGGAATGGAAAGTCAGAAGGAAATCAAGTATTGCCTCTGCAGCAAAAGAACGATGCCTAACTGCAATGTTATGTGACCCATAAAACTCACCTTATTAACTAAGGCTTAAGACTAGAATATAAAAGAGAAGTGAGAGGGAAAGTAATGTTTTTTTGACAGAGCTGCTGGTGATTTTTCTGAGCTATAGTGAGGGAAATAGAGAAAGAGATAGCTTCCCAGGAAGATCAAGCAACCAGTTGATATAGGAGTCCTGAAAACAGGAATCTGGACTTTCTTTGCCACTGTCTGCATTCCACTGTTCCATGAAGGAATTTCAGGAAGTTGTACCATTTTGGTGAGATAGGTGTAGAGTAGGGGTCTGGATCACAGAGCCTTTAGGCCACGTGCAGTCCTTAAGTCTGTTTTTAAGCCCTCCAAGGCCTACAGGCTGCACTGCCAATTTTTTTTATGACAGAGCACTTCAGCAGCAGCCGGGAAAAATCTCTGGGGGCAGGCCATGACAATGTATGTAAATGTAGCAAAATGTCTTGCAGTGGGTTGCTGCCAAAATTCCGTAGCAGACAGGGAAAATTCTTTTGAAGCACGACAATACTTTAAATAGCTTATAGCAGCTTGCTGACAAATTTGGGGGCACAAATTTTGTAATATAGTTAAAGCACGTAAAATACTTGCTTTAAATGGGTTTTTTTCTTGATTGCCATGAACTTTCAAGTGTAGGGTATTATGGGGGCCATGTTTGCTCCTGGACCCACTGTAGTTTCCCACCCTCATTTAGACACAAATTGCATTTTGCTGAAGGCCCCCCCCTCCCAGTGAACTTAGTAGCTCAGCAAGGCTCTGAACACAGGTTGGTTGCCTCCTCCTCCATTTTTGTTCTGAAGCTAAATCTATCTGCTATAGTGTTCTTGTTTTCTCTCTGGATCCAAACTGCACATGCTATGTTGGAGCTTTTAAGAACTGTCTGAGAATGATTGCTTCCATGCAGCAGGTGCCACCAAAACCGTAGAGAGCAAATCTCCCCCATTACATTTCCAGGGGATTATGTTCCTGGCACAGAGACCCACCTGGCTCCAGAAATTGTGATGGGAAAACGCTGTGATTCCAAGGTAGACGTTTGGAGTAGCTGTTGTATGATGCTTCACCTCCTGAATGGCTGCCATCCTTGGACCCAATATTATAATCACCCTCTCTGCCTGAAGGTAAGTTTCGTGTTGCTAAACTAAAAAGAACATTGCCTAATGGACTGGTGTTCTTGTCAGATGTAAAATGTAGAAATAAGCGATCTAGAGTAGAAGGGCTGCTGTAGTTGAAATACTGATAAGCAGTGGTGTGGGGATGGGGGCATAGTAGTGAGCTGTATCCTAGGAAATCGCTTTGTTTGTGGTCTTCAGCTTGCTACAACAGTGCTGGTGAGAACAGCAAAGGTGAAACCAAGGCTTGGTCTTTTGTACGGAATGTAATAAGAAAGGCCAGATAACATTGCAGTAAAGTCCAGCATCCTGATTTCTCATGTAGCTGGACAGAAGTCTCCGGGAAGCCTGCCAGAAGATTATGACAACAATGGCTTCTCCTTCATTGCTTTCTACCAAATAGTTTTCAGTACTGCTCTGAATACCAAGATCTGTCTTTGTGCAGTCATATATATGGGATCTGTGTATCTGCAGTGTGGCTGTTCAGAAATGTGTGGTACTTAAAGAATCATTCTGGCTCCTGCCTTGAGGAAAACATAGTGGCTGCCTTGAAGTCAGGAAGAAAGCCCAGTTTCTTCAACTCTCTTTTCCCCATCACTATTAAATCACACCATGAAGTTGTTCTTGAGCATCTTCTCAGTGAGGATTCTTAAGCTTTTCTCACTGCTTATTGTTTCCTTCTTAAAGTATTCATGGGAGGAAATCTATTCCTTCATGGCCGAGCTTGAGCCTGAAAATTCAGTATAGCCATTGTAAGCAGCCAGATTACTGACTGGAACTGGTCAAATAATCCCTCTGTTACAGCAGCTCTGTTTCGTAGCTGAATACAATGTGTTGTTTCTAACCTTTAAAGGCCTAAATGGCTTGGGCCCGAGCTATCGCAAGGACTGTATCTCCATTTATGAACCTGTTTGAATGTTAAGAGCATCAGGAGAGGCTTTTCTCTTGGTCCTACCACCTTCACAGGTGCATCTGATCGGCACACAGGAGAGAGCCTTCTCTGTTGTTGCTCCCAGACTTTGGAACTCCATCCCACAGGAGGCCAGGCTGGTCCCATCTTTGCTGTCCTTCCAGAAGCAGGCAAAGATGTTTTTTTTCTTCAGATAAGCTTTCCTCGAGTGACTGGTTGTCTGAGTGTGGTTTTTAAAATTGATTGCTGTATCTTTCTTCTTTGAATGTGATTTGGTGTTGCTTCCTTTTTTTGCGTATTTTTTGATCCTTTTTAGTATTTGTATACTCACAGTTGTTAGCTTTTATATTGTTTTTTTAATGATGTAAGCCACCTTGTGTCTTTTTAAGAAGAAAAGCAAGGTAAAAATATTTTAAATACAGTGGTGCCCCGCATGACGACGATAATCCGTCCCATTGAAATCGTTCTTTAGCGAAATCGTCGTCAAGCGAAAACCCTTTCCCCATTGGAATGCATTGAAACCTGGTTAATGCGTTCCAATGGGGAAAATACCTCATTGTCCAGTGAATATCGCCCATAGGGAAGCCATTTTGCGAGCGCCGATCAGCAGTAAAAATGGCTGCCCTGCGAAGCATGGGTCCGGAAAACACAGAGGAGAGTGCAAAAAATGGTCTGAAGCTCAACAACAACAACAACAACGATCATGGCCACTGGTCCCATCACCTTATGGCAAATAGAAGGGGAAGATATGGAAGCAATGACAGATTTTACTTTCTTGGGTTCCATGATCACTGCAGATGGTGACAGCAGCCACAAAATAAAAAGACACCTGCTTTGAAGGAAAGTGATGACAAACCTATTATGACTTGTCAGAAAGATAAGTAAAGCAAATTAAGTGTGAGCTTTCACTAGAAGCTAAAATAACCAAACAAAGGGTACTGTACTACAGTGGCATCATAAGAAGGCAAGCTCACTGGAAAAGGCAGCAATGCAGGAAAAAGTGCAATGCAGTAGGAAAAGAGGAAGACTGCACATGAGATGGATTGACTCCATAAAGAAACGCACTTTGCAAAGGGCATATTCCTTCTTTGAATGGATGCATACCTTTCTTCTGGAGCTGCTGATAGCAAAGAATTAATCCAAAGAATTAACTCATTAATCTCCCTCTCCCTCTTGTCATTTTGCACATTGCTCCTCACCATCATCTAACAGTTTGACTGTGTACATATGTTGGATAGTTTCCTGATTGGTTTTGATGTCTTTGTCTCTGCAGGGAAGTTGCTGCTTTTTGCATCTAGCATGTTCACTCCTCCTGTGTTTCTGTATTGCAGATAGCCAAAGAGCCACCTCCTCTAAGAGAAATTCCCCCCTCCTCTCACCCATCCACTGCCCATGTCATTAAAGCTGGCCTTGAGAAGGAGCCAACAAAGAGAGCCTCAGCTGCAGAACTGAGAGCAAAGGTCTACACAGCTCTCCAGCAGGGTGAGAATGTCTGACATCTGTTGGGACAAGCTCCAGGTGGACAGACCTCTTCCCTTAGTAGAAAAATCTGCTTACTGTACTATGATCTGTTTCTTGCTTCTTCTGCCTCCAAATGCATGCATGGCTGACTTTAATAGGACTACTTAGAAATCAGCCTTTTGTAGATTCTGGTTTTTGTGTTGTATACAAGAAGATGCTGAAGGTGCTCAGTATGTCTCCTTGCATGCATTGTTTGCCAGATATTGGCTTTCATGACATACAAAGTTTTGAAACATTACTTTTTAGACTACAACTCCCAAAAAGACCTCAGCAAGAATGGTCATTGGTCATGCTTGGGAGTAGCAGGCTGAGGAGATAGCTGTTTAGGTTTTGGTCATGAAGTGCCAGAATACTGTATCTGCAAGAACCTTTCCCACAGCCAGTGATGACTGCAAACTAGGAGAGCATGTGTAGGAAGCTGCCTTATAGAGATTTGGCCTTTTGGTCAGCCAAACTTAATATTTTACTCGAACTGACCTACTGCTAAGTTTGAGATAGGCATTATCTAGACTCATTTGGAAGTACCAGAAATAAGATGACTGAGCCTTCTGTAGCAAAAGCCTGTGTTTTGTCTGTAAGCTATGAGCTCTCTCTAAAGGAGGTACTCCTTTGAGCTAAGTATATTTTCTCTGTATAGGACTTTGCAAATTCTGTAACACCAAAGATGTTGCAGTTCTAGGAATGACTGAAAAATACCCATATCTACACATTTTAATAAACACATAGTCGGGTTGGGTTGGGTTTCTTATGGAATTGAGGTTTGGAGGGCAGGAGGAGGTTATATAGTGGGGAGAGAGAAGGTGTTCATCATTCAGAACTGCCAGCCTAGACAATTTGCATGATACCTAAGAGAGACTGACTTGAAGCAGGACTCTCCATTTATTCTCTAGGAAACTCAAACAATGTTTTAATTTTTTGAGGAACAAATGTGCTATTTTCTATTCAGAGATAAACCATAAATAAAAGGATATAGTTAAAAAGTAAACCTGGCAGCAGTATCTCGTAGCTCTGTCATCTACAATGCTTCCAGTGTGCCAGAATGCTCTGGGCAGACCATGTCTTGTTTCCTCTCCTGACTCAGCAGCTCTGTGTAGAAGTGATGTTGTACATCATGCAGAATGTTGTGCTGTACAACATCACATTGCAAATGGGTGGGCTTATTTTTAAAATACAGTTCCTTGTAGTATGTGGTAAACTAGTATATCAGAGAGAGAGAGAGCGTTGTTCGGAATCTTTTTCTGCAGTGTCAGTTTGCAACATAAAGGAGTTTTTTTTTAAAAAAGAAGGTGAAGTACTGTATAGAAAAAGGAGCTTTTTGCAATCAGAAATGTGCAGTGCCAAATACTTCCAGCAGTGTATTGGTATTTTTAAAATCAATATACGGGATAGTTGTTAGGTTGCTTATTCTTGGTCATTGTGGACACTGGAAATGCCATGATATCATTGGCAATATTTTCCTGAGGTTTAAACAAAAAGTGAAGAGAAGAATCTTCTGGCAGATGTGGGGTAAAGCTGTGATAAAGAACCTTTATCATCCCATAGAGCAAGGAGTGGGAAAGCTGGGGGCTACAGCGCTTCTCAGTACGAGTCAGCTTTGACAGAGGTTGGATTGAGAGAAGTTGTAGTCCAGCCATATGCAAAGGGCCACAGGATCCCTGCTTGTGCCATAGGATATACTTCTCCCTCTTTTATCCTCTCCTGTGTGGGTCTCATCTTTTAAAACCCTTTTGACATGTTTGCTCAAGTGGATGTGTGTAGACAGCTGAAGTGATGCGTTACTGCTGCTGGTTCTTTCTTGTTTTCATATCCCTCCATCTGTGTGTCTTTGCTTTGCAGTTGGAGGCCTGACAAGCCCCTGGAGAGGGGAATATAGAGAACCCAGATGCCTACAAGTGGCACAAGAAACAAGTCGCCCAGAACCACTCTTACAAGAAGTTGAGCCTCCTCCTAGCCTGAAGCCATTGGCCAGGAGCCCTGGTCCACCACTCCCTCCTCAGGGCTGGACTGAGAGAACCCAATTAACCCATCCTAGTATGTGCAAGAAATTATTATGGCCATATGACTCTCTTCAGCCTTCTATGCTGACTCCGCTCAACAGTAAGAAGGGCAGCTTGACAGAATGGACAACCTTGGAACATGACCTTCAGCAGCTGGAGTTCGGTAAAGATGAGTCTGTGCCTTGCCTTGCTTGTTCTTCTCCTTCAGAGTTGCCTTTGTGTGAATCTCATGAGTCACTCTTCCGTTAAACCCTTTGAGAAACTCTCTCCACCCATAGAAATCTTGTTGAGTTGAAGGGCATCGGTACATTTCCTATTGTTTATTGGCAAGGCCAAACATGTGCACGAAAGTTTAAAATATGGGAAAAGAATGGATATAACTGTATTGTTCTTTGTCCCAGTGGATGTGGCATAATAGACAGCAACTTAGATATGACTGGACATAAAGTTTTAAGAAGAGAAAATCCAGCTGTGAATACACTCCCATCAAGGCAGTGGGGGGAATGCCAGAGTGTCAAAAGCAGTGAAGGGTTCTGGTGTTGGATTTCTGTATCAGTCCTAAGCCCAAAGAAATGTCAGGGTGATGGCAAAGAAATACGATGTTGCAGCTGTAGCAGATCTTCCCAGCTTGCATCCTGTCTCCATTCTAATGTGTAATCTTCTTTCCCACAGAGCTGATCCTAAACAGCCTCTCAGAGCCCTTCTCTCTGGAGGAGCAGGAGCAAATGCTCTCGTGCCTCAGCATGGAAGGCTCCTTCCCATCAGACACCAGTGAGAAGGCAAGTCCATGAATACAAGCATTTGCAACTTCCGGTGAGGCAAAAGAGAGAACAGAATCAGGCATTCCCCAGGATTCTTATGTTAAATTCCTGATTTGGCTAAGAGAGCCCTCCTACCTCTGAGTTGGGAGAGCACTTTGGTACATGATGGATGCAAGCATTAGGATTTCTTATTGCATTCCCACTGTGGGCTTGTTCATACACCCTACATTCGGAGGTTGCACTCTGTCTACCCTGAGGTAGAGAACCTTTGGCCCTCCAGATGTTTTGAATTGTAACTCCCACAGTCGTTTATGCTGAGTGAAAGTAGAAGTGATAGGCAAGATGAATCCGGAGCTGTAGGCCAAAAATCTGGTCCATTTCTCGTTTGCATAAAAAGGAAATCTCGGGTTCTTTTCAACTCCAGACTATACATTAGAGAGGGTGTATATATTTTTTTTTGCATGAAGAAGAGCAACCATATGTCTCCTCACAAGCAACTCTTTGGCTCCTTGTTCCCTCACTGGTAAATGTTTAGTAATTCAAAAGTGTGGGAGATTATGTTATGGTCCCACTATTTCTTCTCTGTTTTGTGGACTTAAATGATGTCACTCAAGGACTTCTGCTTCAAGAGCAGCAGTGCCTCCTTCTAGACCAGTGGTTCCCAACCTTGGATAACCCAGGTGTTCTTGGTTTTAATAGATTATGCCACCCGATACCCTGAAGCCATCCCTTTAAGGTCCACTACAACCAAAGTTTTAGCTAGAGAATTATTACAAGTGTTTTCCAGATTAGGCTTCCCTAAGGAAGTTTTAACTATTCAAGGAACCAATTTCATGAGACGCACCTTTAAAGAATTGTGGCGATTATTGATTAATCGCCACAGTGAGGTATGTACCGGTTAAGCCGGTACATACCTCAGTATATCATCCCCAAACCAATGGGTTAGTAGAGAGGTTTAATAAAACACTGAAAGGAATGTTGAGGAAGTTAGTGATAGAAAAACCACACTTATTGGTAGCACCTTTGATGTTTGCGATTAGGGAAGTTCTGCAGGCATCAGCTGGATTTTCACCATTTAAAATGATGGATGGATGGAACCCTAGAGGGATATTGGATCTGATAAAAGATAAATGGGAGATGGAGGAGAAAGATGAAGCTCAGATAGTGGTTCAACAGGAAATAGAAATGAGGGATCACTTGAATAAGGTAGTAGCTAGAACTCGTTTACAAAGAGTACATCAAGGACAAGAGAGGCAATTCAGTGTAGGACAAAAAGTTTTACTCTTACTACCAGCTAAAATGCAAAACTTTTTGCGAGATGGCAAGGACCCTATGAAGTAATTAGACGCATAGGACCAGTGGATTATGAAATAATACCAGATAAGAAAAATGAGAATATTCCATGTGAATTTGTTGAAGTAATGGAGAGAACAAGAAGTATTTGTTGGGGAGATAGAAGAAGATTTAGGCCCAGAAGCTTGGGTTCACAGGAATAACACAGGAGCTTTCTTTGGGGGAAGAAAATAATAGAGTTCAGACCAAAGAAGTTACAGTAGATGTATAGAAGAAGAATTTAAGGATGTTTTCTCCCATAGACCAGGTTTGACCATGAGGGTAGAACATCAGATCAGTACCCTCCCTCAGGTTGTGGTTAGGTTTCCTAATCACACTTTCCCACTATATAAGATGATGATGGAAGCCAAATGCCTATGCTTTGCCCAGATTTCCAGTCCCTAGGGTGCAGGAGGGATTTGGTTTAAATCGAATTGATTTGGTTTTTTTAATTGGATTTTTTTTTTTTTTACAGTATCAACTTGATTTAAAAAATAACAACTGATTTTTATCCACCCTGCTAGCATGTTTTACTGGGGGAGGACAGAGCTTGTCGGAAGCAAGGATATTTCCATTACTACACTGAAGGCTTCATACCAAACAGCCACTTTGTGTGGCAGCCAGGAAACGCAATTGCTCTTTCTTTCTGGATCCATAGGTCTCATTGAAAATGTCTCATAGTCTGAAGGACACAATGAGTTCGGGAGTGCATTCATGGAACAGCCAAATAGATGGGCAGAGCAACAGCTGGAACAGTTGGCTACAGTGGAGCAGGCAGACAGACGTGCCCACCTACTTTGACGGTAAGGCCAGTTTGTTCTCGGATACTAAGCTTAACAGATACAGATTATTTCTTACAAACTGATTTGTCAGACATACTGTTTAGTGTGTTAGTTTGTTTCATTTTGTGGTGTGCTTTGTTCCTGCATTAAATAAGTCAATTAGCGATTAATAAATGATCAATATTAGAAGTTTAAGTGATAAAAACATAAAGTTGAGAGCAAAATTTATT